CCTTGAAATGTTACAACTTGCAACTCTCTCCGTGGGAGAAAGGCCAGTTCCCGGGAAAAGGCCAGTTCCCACCACACAGAAAGCAGCTTTGTATTTCTTTTTGTGCTGGTGGCTGTAGGTCAATGGAGCGGCCAAACATGGCTGTACTCATGTCAAGACACATGTTCATTTGCTTAATGTGTCATAGTCATATTTTTTAAGTTGTATTATAGCCATATTTTAAAGTTTATTTCCTTTCTCTCTCCTCCACCTCTTTCCTACTAGGATGTGATAGCAATAGTTCAATTCAACATCAAGTTCAAAAGATGCAAAATATGTGATAGAATCTTGCCAGAAATAAAGGAGAAGACATGGCTCAGAAATACCAGATGTGAAACAGGAGGCAATAAACGAAACAGACATTGGATTATCTCCCTTTGGAGACAGGAAGAGAGTAATTTCAGATGTATGCAATAATTGCATTATGTTGGACAGGGTTGAGAAGAAGTTTTGACTTGCTTTATGGAAAGATGTGCTTGTGTGGCTATTGGATAGTCAAGGGGTGGACTGTAATGAATATCTCTTGTTTTAGCCTCTCCCGCACCCAGCCCCTCCCCTTTTCTTTTTGTAAGAGTACCTCAGTTTTGGTTTGTGGCACTTCCTAGGATCCGTTATATGCAGTCATGGTGGTACCATCCATCTGGCTACACCACCCTCCCTTGGCTGCCTGGTCAAGATGTGACCAAAGCTAAGGCCATCAGAGCCTCCTCTCCAATCTTGCCCCGGAAGGTGAAAGTAAAATCAGGTCATGTCCTAAGCCTTCCTTTCTTCTCAGACCATGTATTCACAACAGTGTGTGGCCATACTGTTTTCTCTGCCCTCACCTTGTCCCTTCCTCTCTCCAGAGGCTCAGCTCCAGCTACCCACCAGAAAGCTTCATTTAAATGTCCTAGAGACAATTCAGTTTCAACATGGCAATGACTGACCTCATTTTGCCTTTCCTCTCCCTTCTAAAACAATAACCATTAATCCTCCTGTGGATCCTCTTTCCATTTGTAGATCCACCATCCTCCCAATGTATATATTTTCGTCTCATCCTCAACTCCTCCCTTCCCTCACCTCCCACATCCCACTGCCACCACGTTCTGCTCTTTCTTCCTTAGAAATGGCTCTCAAATCTATCACCTCTCTGCAATTGATTTTTTTTTGCTGTTGTTTGTTTGCTTTTTTTTTTACTGAGTTGAAATTAATATAAAATAAAATTAACTGTGTTAAAGTGTACAATTCAGTGGCATTTAGTACATTCACAAAGTTGTGCAACCATCACCACCATCTAGTTCCAAAATATTTTCATCCCTCCAAAAGAGACTTGCACCCATTAAGCAGTCATTCTCCATTCCCCGCACTCCTTGCCTAGCACCTGGCAACCACTGATCTGCTTTCTGATTTACCTATCCTAGATATTTCATATAAACAGAATCACACACTATGTGGCCTTCTATGTCTGACTTTTTCACTTAACATAATGTTTTCAAAGTTCATCCTTGTTGTAGCTTGTATCAGAACTTCATTCCTTTTTATTGCTGAATAATATTCCATTGTATGCATAAACCACATTTTGTTTATCCATTCATCCATTGACAAGCATTTGGGTTGTTTCCACCATTTTGGCTATTATGAATAGTGCTACCATAAACATTTGTGTACAAGTTTCTGTGTGGACATGTATTTTATTTCTCTTGAGCATATACCAAGGAGTGGAATCACTGGGTCATATGGTAATTCTATATTTAACTTTTTGAGAAACACCAAACTGTTTTCCACAGTGGCTGTGCCATTTAACATTCTCACCAGCAATGTGCGAGGGTTCCTATTTTTTCTCATCCTCGTCAATATTTGTTATTTCTATTATTGTTGTGTATTATTATTATTTTATTATTATTGTTACTATTATTGTAGTTATTATTATTATTAATACCATCGTAATGAGTGTGAAGTGGTATTTCATTGTGGTTTTGATTTGCATCTCCCTAACGACTGGTGGTGTTGAACATCTTTTCATATGCTTGTTGGCCATTTATACATGTATATTTGGAGCAATGTTTATTCAAGTCGTTGCTCAATTTTAATTGGGCTGTTTGTCTTTTTGTTGTTGGGTTGGAAAAGTTCTTTATATGTTCTGGATACTACACCCTTATCAGATATATGATTTGCAAATATTTTCTCCCATTCTGTAGGTTGTCTTTTCACTTTCTTGATAGTGTCCTTTGATGCATAAATTTTTAAAATTTGTTGAAGTTCAATTTGTATATTTTTTTCTTTTGTTGCTTGTGCTTTTGATATCATATCTAAGAATCCATTGTCAAATTCAAGATCATGAAGATTTATCCCTGTTTTCTTCTAAGAGTTTTAAAGTTTTAGCTCTTACATTTAGGTCTTTGATCCATTTTGAGTTAATTTTTGTATAGTGTGAGGTAGGAGTCCAACTTCCTTCTTTGCATGTGACTATCCAGTTGTCCCAGCACCATTTGTTGAAGAGACTGTTCTTTCCCTGTTGAATGGTCTTGGCAACTTTGCCAAAAATCAATTGACTATAGATGTATGGGTTTATTCCTGGACACGCAATTCTATTCCATTTGTCTCTATGTCTATTCTTATGCCAGTACCACACTGCTTTGGTTACTGTAGCTTTATAGTATATTTTGAAATTCAGGAAGTGTGACTCCCCCAACTTTGTTCTTCTTTTCCAAGGTTATATTGTCTATTCTGGGCTCCTTGCAGTTCCATATGAATTTGAGGATTGGCATTTCCAGTTCTGCAAAAAAAAAAAAAAAAAAAAAAGGCTGTTGTGATTTTGATAGGGATTGTATCAGCTCTGTAGAATGCTTTGGGTAGTACGGCCAACTTAACAATATTGTCTTCCAATCCATGAACACAGGATGACTTTCCATTTATTTAGGACTTCTTTAATTTCTTTCAGCAATGTTTTGTAATTTTCAGTGTACAAATGTTGCACCTCATTGGCTAAATTAATTCCTAAGTGTTTTTTTCTTTTTGACACTGTGGTAAATGAATTGTTTTCTTAATTTCCTTTTTGGATTCTTCATTGCTAGTGTACAGAAATACAACTGATTTTTGTGTGTTGATATTTTATCCTGAAACTTTGCTGGATTTGTTGTTTAGGTCTAATAGTTTTTTGTGGGCTCTTTAGGATTTTATATATATATATATATATATATATATATATATATATATATATATATAT